GGAACATTTTCATGTTGTCAATGGTTATCCGCCAGACGTTTTGCATGATCTTCTGGAGGGTGTTGTTCCGTCTGAATTGGCCTTATGCTTGAAGGCACTAATATCAAAGGGATACTTCTCACGTGAAACCCTGAATGTGGCTATTAAACAATTTCCATATACATTTTCAGACAGAACAAACCAACCTCAGCTCATCGCAAAGAACTTTGCTTCCAAAGCAACAATTGGAGGAAATGGTCATGAAAATTGGACACTCCTCCGCCTTCTGCCACTACTGATAGGTCATCATATTCCTGAGGGGGATGAAACCTGGGAGGTTTTAATGACCTTAAAGGATGTAGTGGAATTGTCAGTGTCTGCAAGTTTCTCAGAGGAGTCAGTGTGCTTTCTTGACTGCAAGATTGCAGAACATAGAGATATATTTCAGAAGGTTTTCCCAAGCGAGAAGCTACGACCAAAGCACCACTACATTGAGCACTACCCTGAACTAATTCAAACTTTTGGTCCATTGTGTGATGTGTGGACAATGCGTTTTGAAGGCAAACACAAGTTCTTCAAGAAAGTTGTGCGTCACGTTCACAACTTCAAGAATATACCCCTTACTTTAGCTCTCAGACACCAGCATATGATAGCCTTCCATTTAGCTGCTACCTCCTTTTTCAAGCCATCTGTTGAAATTAACAGAGTGAAGTCTGTACTGGTTGCTTCATTTCCTGAAAATGTGAAGAACTGTCTCTATCTCAGGAATAACTACCAGAACACAGTCCTTGTAGCAGCTTCTGTTTGCATAGATGGCATTAAGTACAGTGCTGATATGGTCATTTCCATTGGATCGTGCTCAGGGCTACCAGATTTCAGACAAATAGCAAAGATTGTGGTGATCAATACAGACATAATATTTGTCTGCAGACTCATGACATCATGGTATATTGAGCATCTTAGAGCATACGAGCTCTGTAGTAGCCATTTGCCCACCTTCTCTGTTACCCAGTTGTCTGAACTAAATGATGTTATCCCTCTTTCACTTTACAGAGTTGGAGACAAGCATCTTGTAACACTTAAACGTTACATATTGTGCTAAGTGAATCAAACATCAAAATGGACCAAAGGTTGTTGCTAAGAGTCATCATCACTGAAGATGATATAAGGAAGTTGACTTTGAATAAGAGACCACAGTCCATTGAAGAGTTAAAAGTGCAACTGGTGGATAAACTGTCACTGCAGTATGACTTTAAACTGCAGTATGAAGATCAAGACTTCCATAATGCCCTCTGCAATTTGACTGAAATAACTGATTTACCTGAAAGAGCTACGCTCAAAATCATCCCTCTTGTGACTCTCCATTTAACCGCATTGTCATCACCCACCACAACATCAGACGCTGAGTTCAGCACAGCAGACACTGAAATCCTGTCGACTGGAAGAGCATCACCATTGCTCAGACAACAGTGGCCAGAGTTGTTTGACATACCCAATTTCTCAGTTGATGTTGAGTATAGACTCAGACAGGCAGATCTTGCCTTTATGAAGGATGGAACACGTATGACTCTACAACGAGATCTGAAGCATGACATACTAGAAAAGCTTGCTGAGACGATGTACAGTTTCAAGGCTTACCCTAAAGATGATGACTTCATCAGTGTTGCGAAAGCACTGATTAGCAAACACCCCTGCCTCACTGAGCCTGGACCACACGGATGGTATGGCTGGAAAAACAGCCTTAAATTCAAGATGGCCAATTATCGCACAAAGCTTCGAAAAGCTGGATTTGAGGATGTAGCAATCAATGGAGGCAAAAGAAGTAAAGGCAATCCAGAAGGAGAATCCTCAAGCAAGAATATCAAACGGCCAAAAAGAGGTGAAGCAAACTACCTGCCTAACTTACCTGAAGGACATGATGAAACAAGCCTTGAAAATGCCAGAAAGGTTCTTGTGGAAGAAATGAAGAAAAAACAACCCAATGGCACTCTCATCTCACAAATGATGGACCAGTCATTCCCACTACGCAGACAAGAAATTATAAAAAAGGAGCCTGCTGTACAGAACATGGTTGAACGATGGCCAGCACTCTTTACAGAGAGACAGGTAAGCTATTTTTGGTCTCAACCAATAAAATAATGCCAATCAAAAAGAAATTTAAGGTGTGTGGCTAGAAATCCAAACACACTTGTTGCAATGTTAACACCTCTGCCATCTCTACATCCCTACCCACCCCTCTCTCTGCTTTTTCAGGTGTTTGCTGAGTTTAATAGAATCGCCAGTAAGAATCTTGAGGGAGACTTCTTTGAGGCTCTGGACCAGTACGTCCCGCGTTTCATTGAACTTTTCAAAACAAAAAAGGGAACTGTTGGCCAGAAACTCAGTGAGCTGATGCAGCACATGAGCTGGATGGTAAGTTTGGTTCATTTTGCTTTTGATCTGTATGATAGTTCATCAATCAAGTTCTAAATGAGATGATCCAGACCAACCTATGATCCAGACCAACCTATTCTATTTCCTGTCTGACTTGTGCCTGTGCCTTGCAAATTACTCTAACTGGTATTTTCTCTCTCTGTGTATCATTAGACACCAGATGTGACAGTACTTCGCTCTGTTGTCCTCAAAGGCATTCCCATTTTACTTGGTGACAACTCCAGTGAATTCTTCAACACATGCTCTGTAAGTACTTGCACATAAGAAAAAGTTTGGTCTGCATTAATATAGAACTATATCTGTGCTGACATAGATGATGTAATTCTGTTTGCACAATATACAATATATATTTTGTACAGTGATTGATGCATTTTGTATAGCAATTCCTCCACAGCTAATCTGAGAGGTATTTAAAAAGGCAGTAAATAAAAATGAAATTTGCAACATACAGTAAACGTACACATTAATTCATTTTAAATCTAAGGAGCGGGAGTCTACAGTAGGTTGAAAAGTCAGTGTCATTGTTCAAGAATATATGGACCTTGTGGACCATAGCTTTAGTTTAACCATACCAGATTTATTTTGTTGGCTATATTGTAACAATCCAGTGTGAACACATCCATATTCTCTAGCAAATACTTTCAACACTAAAAATGAATGTTTTAGAAGAGCATAAAGTCCATGCTGAAGAATGTGTGTGCAACTTTGTAGGATACAGCGAAAGTTGAGGCTCGAGAATGCATCACTGTTGGTGTGCTGACAGTTGTCAGTGAAGATAGTCCTCATGAGGGTGCAAGTTCAGTTGACCTCCAGCCAATCTCCACTGCCATCATTCTGGAGGGAGGTATTGTCATGGATCGTATTAAAAACTTGCCTCAGGCAGTTTGTCTGTTATT